ATGGACACTATTCTGTACTACTTCCCGACCTCTCAGCTGCCTTTGATATGGTTGACCACCCCTTCTCCTCACAAAACTTTACTCCCCTTGGTATCCCTGGCTGTGTTCTTTGCTGGTTATCATCCTACCTATCCCACCTCACCTTCAGTGTCACTTACAATTCTTCTTCCTTTCTCTGTTGGGGTCCCCCAAGGTTCTGTTCTTGTATCGCTCCCATTCTCAATCTACAGCTCCTCCCTGGGTCAGCTGATAGCCTCCCATGACTTTCAAAATAATTTCTACGCTGATGACACCCTAATCTACCTCTCTACCTCTCAGCTCACAACATCAGTCTCCGCACGTATCGCTAACTTACTGACCGACATATCAGCCTGGATGTCACACCACTTTCTCAAACTCAGTCTATCCAAAACCAAGTTCATAATATTTCCGCTCCCACGTGCCCCTTCCCCTGACTTCTCTGTCCTGATCAATGGCACAACCATCAATCCGTCCCCGCATGCCAGGGTGCTAGGTGTAATCCTGGACTATGAACTCTCCTTTCAGCACCACATCCAATCACTTTCCAAAGCTTGCTGTCTCAACCCCAGCATCTCCAAAATAGGCCCCTTCCTAACCCAGGTAATCTCTCACCTCGACTACTGAAACTCCCTCCTCATTGGCTTACCTTTACATAGGCTATCCCCCCTCCAGTCCATCATGGATACTGCTGCCAGACTCATTCACCTTTCCAACCGTTCAGTGTCTGCTACCCCTCTCTGCCATTCCCTCCATTGGCTGCCACTCACCCAACAAATTTAATTCACAATACTAACAACAACTTACAAAGCCATCCACAACTCGGCCCCCAGCCACATCACTAACCTAGTCTCAAAATACCAACCAAATCACACTCTTCCTTCCTCCCAAGATCTCCTGCTCTCTAGTTCCCTTGTCACCTCCTCCCATGCTCGCCTCTGCAGGACGTCTCCTGAGCCTCTCCTATCCTATGGAATTCGCTACCCCAATCTATCCGACTATCTCCTACACTGTCCTCTTTTAGGCAATCCCTGAAAACTTTTCTCTTCAAAGAAGCCTATCCTGCCTCCACCTAAAAACTGTACATGTATTTTCTTATCCTGCAGAGTTATTACCTTTTGTATCACTTGACCCTCCTTTTTAGATTGTAAGCTCTAACAAGCAGGACCCTCTGATTCCTCCTGTATCCAATTGTATTGTAACTGTGCTGTTTGCCCCATTGGTCTGGAGCCCTGGGCTGTGGAGGGGGCATGAGTGGCTGGCTTTAAAAATCAGGAGCTCTCCAGAGTCTGGAGCAGCTGAGTGACATCAGCAAACAGCGGACTTTGGCCTACTATCTGCTGAATCTGTATCACAGGAGTGCAGAACTAATTGCACTCCTGTGACCTAAAGGAGAAGTAGGACCAAAGCATTGGCCCTACTTCTTCTTGAAGGCCTCATGCACTTGGACTTATAGAAATAAGCAGAATTTTGGCAGAAAAAACTCATCTAATGTTTTCTGGCCATTGGAATACATTTCTGTGCACCTCAAAAGCTCATCTAGGAACACACCTTTGGTGTTTTTTTTCTGCCTGTAAATGCTCCTCTTTAAATACGCCTGTAAACGCTTATATGTGCAGGGCCACATAGGTTAACATAGAGGTGCAGTTGCAGGTATAAATGAACACATGGACCGCCTGTATAAACAGCGCTGTTTGAGCTGTGGGTGCATGCAGCCTAGGACACCCAAAAATGTAATATATTGGAGCTTACCAATCATTAGATGTGGTGGCTGCATTAACTTTATTTTTTAGGCTCTTTTCCCTCTGTCTCTCCAGCTAATACATTATAAGCAGTTACAGCAACAGTGTTGCTCCTGTTCGGAAAAAGTTTTACATAAATGAATAAAAGCTGATCATTGTAAGCATCCTTGTCAGTGGTAAATAGTTTCTCTCAACCGTCTAACTGCTACATCTGCAGGACAGTTGTTCTGTTAAAAAACAACAGATTGGTAACTGGCAGGATCACCAAGTGCAAATAAAAAAAGAAAACTAATGTAGCTACCACATTTAAGAATTGGTAAGCTCCAATATAACAAGTGTTTGCTTTTGGCTTTAATACTGCTTTAAGTGCTGTGATAGGCATGTGTTTTGCTATGAATATAAGAACCCTCCTTTTTGCCCATCTAGATGAGTAGGTCTTGTTGAGTGAAATGCATTGAAGGGCGGTCCCATGGGCTGGGGGTTGTCTTTGTGCTTGTTAGTTCTAATAAAACAGGATCCATTTGATGTAATTGGAGTACAGCAGCCTTTTTTATTTTTCTTCTTAATCGCCCCCCTACTGCCACGCTTGAACTTTGTGCACTACTAAACACCTTCCTCACTACCTTACAAAAATATGGTGCACTTATACTGTACTTTTTATATAAATAAATATACTTTATTTTAAAACTACCTTAGACTATTTTCAGTCCTTAAAGGGTTTTGAATCTACAGTGCTCTATGTGATGATTGTGGCGTCAGACCCCAGCCCTTCTAACCAAACTCATGACCAAAGGACTAGCCAATCTAAAACCGCGATGTCACATGCGAAACAATGCCACGCCCAGCTGCACCCTGCACAAAGATTTTCCAGCTCACTGGACCACAATCAATGTACTGGCAGCCTGAGAGCGATTGTTACTGGGTCAGGTTAATTACGCAATTAACCCTTCACACTGCCACCACCTCCTTTTTGTACAGAGAAAGAGGAAAATCGGTAATATCAGCAATAACACTATGATGTTTGAATAATCGTCGGTATACCACTGTCACCGCAGGCATAGATATACCAAAGTTTAAAACACACACAGTAGTGCTCTTTAGAGGCAGGAATTCATAGTTTGCATTAAAGAGCGTTAGAAACAGTTCAACACTTTCAGAAAGTAAGATTTATTACTAAAAGGTCAAAAGGGTGCAATAAAAATATTTACAAAAAAAGATGTAGCCAATATATATATATAAATATACAGAGAACAATAGAACAGCAAAGAGATAACAGGAAGGAATTTAGAATTTAGATAGATAAAGTACTTACCAGTCAGCCTTGATTTAAGCAGCTTTCAAGTTTCAGAGGCAAAAAGATGCTTTTATCTCCCACTGTCAGTTTCGATTTTAAAGCAGGGAGATCTTCAACTCTCACACCCAGCTCAACTCAGCCTAGCTTAGCTTTTCTAGTAACTCCACAGGGTGTCTCCCTGGAACAGTAAACCAATCTCCTCATTTGGGGTGGGAGGTGTAGGTGGAGACCGAAGTTATGACCAAAAACTCTCATAGCTGCTATTATGATTTATAACTTATTATTGGGGCATTTAGCAGCCTTGCCACTAGTAGATTAATACGGAACTGCATCTGTGGAATGGTTAGATATGAAATATGACATATTTACTTGAATGGTTTAGGAGATATAATTTTCTGCTCTCCTATATATGCCAGCTAGGGGGTGCAAAATATCAGGAAACTTGTATCAAAGTGACCAATCTGAATATATGCCTGTTTTTTACGTAAGTCTCTCATATTCCAAGATATGAAATCATAGGGGAAAATGGATTTTCAATGTGGTGTCTAGTTTATGACTTCTCTGGAATGTCTTTGAACTCACTGAAGGACTTGGTTTATGGTCTTAGATATCCCAGATTGCGAGCTAATGGGGACCTAGGCACCAGCTCAGCTGGGGGGTTTTATAGTCCTGACGCCCTCCCAATGAGCTTTGCTGCCTGTGATCTCTAATAGCACACACAACCACATTCCTGTGGGAGGGGGGAAATCGGTGGAGGGAGGGAGAGAGAGGTACAAAATGGAAGATCCTTTGCCAAGATGGAGGTTCGCATCCATCTCTGTGTGTACGTTTGCTACACTCTATAAATTTTATAACCTGTGGGTAAAGCTTTAACATAAGAGCTGCTTAAGACTGTTGCTCTGTAAAGGCTACTGCGAATTAAAGTTCAATAAAGCACACACTTTTACTGGTGAACATCTATGGTCCATGTGTGCATGCTTGTATCATTTGTAGATTATTTTAGAGGTTTTTCCTCACAGCATTACATTTACATGAACACTTAATATTTGTATACATGATCGTTTTGGGAAATAGTATTCTTCAATGAATTGAGCATCCACCCACATAACCTGTTCACATTGCTGTATGAGTTCTCAGAGTGGTTGTATTGATGTTGTGTTCACTAATTGCCTTTAATCCGGAACAGTGTATAAATCAATAAGCTTTGTGTCTGTTAATAGATTATCAGTTCCACTAATTACAGTTATAAAAGCACTGTTCTTTGTAACTTCTTAAGCAAGCATTGAAATAAGCATGGACTTTAGTGCCTAATTAATACAAATTTTTTTTATTATGCAACTCCCAAAAATGACCAACACTTGAGCTGAACCTTGCACACCAAATTAAAGTAACACAAATGTAAAATCTTCTAAAACTATCGTAATAAAAAAAATGTATTTTCAGGTGTTTACTCACATCTCCACTGTCTGAAGTAAGATCTGAAATCTGAGTTTTTATAAATCAGCTTGGGTAAATCAAATTTGTATTACATAATATTGAGATGTATGGTAAAGTAGGAAATATCTCTTTTCACAAATAGAAATGATTTGTGCATTAATATGAACAAATTATTTGGGGTTAATTTTAATTAGATTTGTGGAGTCTCTTGCATATAAGTAGGGTTTTAGGACACAGTAACAGTTTAAAGATGGAAAAGGCTTCTGAATTAAAAAAATGTTGCTCAATGTTATTAATTATGGTAAACTTAGTGGATAAAAAATGTTGAACTGATTAACGGCTACTCAAACAAGTTATTGAAAAAGTACAAGTGCTAAATTGTTGGCCGTCAGAAAAAGTTATAACAATTCGGTATTTCAAATATTTTATTATCCAGTGTTTAAAAAAACTGTAATCTGTGTATCTTTTGTATTTCTTTGCAGTGCTTGTGATCAAAGTTCTTTGTTTGTGTTCTAGGTCTTACAGCTGCAGCATCATTGGTATCCTTAGCATGGGCCCTGGCATCCTATCAGAAAGCATTAAGAGATTCAAGAGATGACAAGAAACCCATTAGTTACATGGCTGTAATCATCCAGTTCTGTTGGCATTTCTTCACCATCGCTGCCAGAGTGATAACATTTGCTCTCTTCGCTTCAGTTTTCCAACTCTACTTTGGAATATTTATTGTACTTCACTGGTGTATCATGACCTTTTGGATTGTGCATTGTGAAACAGAATTCTGCATCACTAAGTGGGAAGAGATTGTGTTTGATATGGTTGTTGGAATAATCTATATCTTTAGTTGGTTTAACGTCAAGGAAGGAAGGACACGGTGTCGACTATTTATTTATTACTTTGTCATCCTTCTGGAAAACACCGCCTTGAGTACCCTGTGGTATTTGTATAAGGCCCCCCAAATCCTGGATGCATTTGCTATTCCAGCACTGTGTGTAGTGTTTAGCAGCTTTTTAACTGGTATTGTTTTTATGCTTATGTACTATGCCTTCTTTCACCCTAATGGACCTAGATTTGGCCAATCACCGAGCTGTGCTTGTGAAGATCCCATATCTGCATTTCCCTTGCCCCCTGAGGTGGCCTCAAACACTCTTAGATCTATGTCCAATAACAGGAGTGTGGCCGGTGATCAGAAATATACAGAAAGAGACGGCTGCATGCCAGTATTTCAAGTGAGGCCTACAGCCCCTTCTACACCATCCTCAAGGCCTCCAAGGATTGAAGAATCTGTTATCAAAATTGACCTGTTTAGAAACAGGTATCCAGCCTGGGAGAGACATGTGTTGGATAGAAGCCTACGTAAGGCAATTTTAGCTTTTGAATGTTCACCTACTCCTCCTCGGCTTCAATATAAAGACGATGCACTTATTCAGGAACGTTTGGAATATGAAACCACGTTGTAACAGCAGCAAAAGCAAATCCTGACAGCCAGAACTTTAAAGAGCCACAGTGATAGCCTGAACAATAGCACTGTCAACTGGTCGGTGGCTGAAAATAAACTGTTTAACCTTTTACCAACAGCAAAAAGCCATGGCAAGTAAAGTCATGGAGAACAATTAAAATGGCTATTCATCATGATTATCATTTCTTTCAGATGCTCTGATATATCAAAGAGGAAGTTTTGTTTGTGGATTTTAGGACAAAAGAAAATCAGTGGGGGGAGAACATACAAATGAGGGCAGGCCAGTAGACCTATGTAGTGTAGTGTTGTCAAGTGCTGTGATTAATATTCATATAGAAGTCATTATTGTCTCAAGAGTTGTAATGTCTACAAGGTTTTATATGTAATGACCCTAAATCATGCTACAGCCAACAGTTAATGCGCTACAGGTCTCTGCTCCACAAATCGAAAATGTTGCAATAGAAAACTACCACCCATATGTTCCAGTTGTCCTGATTTGATATGGCAGTTCTAGTGTGCTAGTTTGCATATCCCAAAAGGGACATGTTCACAAAAACACATATGGCCTAGCCCAACGATATGTGTGAAGAACAACAAAGGAGCAGATGACAATGTTTGCAACATGCCAAATAATGGAAATCATTTATGAACACATCAGAACTGAGTTTGGGGTCTGATCTTTGTGGGACACAAAGATAGCCAAATTTATATACCCATGCAAACTATTTCTGTATTGCAAACATACACAGTACTACAGTGAGTATTTAATTTTACTAGAAACTCTTAAGGAAACGTGTCCTTATTACAAACACCAATAAAAATTCACCCAAAAGGCTTCTACCTATTTTTATTCAGTCAGCCAACTATACCAATAGTTAATTGAGAAAACAGCAAGGAGTTCTGTGAATTTGTGAGAATGTGAACCCAAGCTGTGATGACATGAAAGATCACAGGATATGGATCAAAAATGATAATCATGATGACATACCCAGATGACAAAAAAAGATTTGGAAAGTTATGTGATGAGGATAAAAGTGTCTGGTTTCTTGTACTATACATGAGATCAGTTTTAGAACTCTGAATGCATGGCTCCATGTGATTTATGCAGGTATGATATAAAATATGAACTGACGCCATACCCTCCTAGTGCCAAACATTACATAGTGACTGCTCTGATGTCTGAGGAATACACAATATGTGGCATGTTGAGCCGTGCAAGAGTATGAAACCAGATGGAGCGCACCAGTTCTCCACATGTACAGACAACTCACCTTTTATACCTATAACTAAGTGATACATTTTAGGCTTTGGGGTTGTCTACTAGTAAGTAAACACAGTGCCGTAGATTAAAATACATTTGTGGAAGACGACTATGATCCTAGTGAAGACTTTCATATTAATCCAAATCCGCAGAGAAACAGTTCTAAGACAGTGCCGGAGTTGCAATTGTTTAAAGTCAAAGTTGTTTTGTTTTGCACAAAACTGTTTTCATGTTATTTTAAAAGATATACCCAAATGGTGCTTTCAGTTGCATTAAGAGTGCAAGGTAAAATCTTACAGCATTTTTTTCTGTTTGAAAATCAGAAACTTATTAATTATCCAATATTTTGTATTGTATAATATGGTTTACATAAGGTATTACTTTTTTATAACATGTGGATCTCATATCATCCCACAATCTAACTTTCAAGTCAAGTTGGTCAACCTACTGGAGGTCAGATATTCTTTCTAATTACTTCTTTATATACCAAGCATATAGTACTCTGAGATCATTCATTTCTTTTTTTAATTTTTACAAGTTTCTCTACTTCATGTACAGAAAATAACAATAATTAAATGTTGCACACATACTATAACCAACTTGTATTAATGTAGGACCATACTCCAACAGTCAGTACTTGTAATGTTATTTTACATTATTTTGGTACAGTTCATTCAATTTTACAGCAAAAAATAGCACAAATGCTGACTGAAAGCATTCATAAGACATTATACAACATATGAAAACACATTACAACAAATCTTTTTGGGTTCATGCAGTATTTATAAAGAGGTGCTGTACTATACAGTTAAGGGTCTATGTGATGTATATCTCAGATGATACTTTGGACCTGTGAAATTATGAAGTAGTCTGTAATGTAATGTTATTAACATTGCTATAGGTGTAGGCCTCATTTTCACATGTCCTACTATAACGTAAACCATCTTATAAAAAGGACATTATTAATGGGCAAGTGATAAAAGGTAGAAGAATGGAGAATATTGATCTATAACTATTATTACTGAACTACATATTCCACAGTGCACAATTGTTAGCGCATAGCTGGCAGAGTTCTGCAAAAGACTTAAGTAAATTCTGAGTGGGAAAGTAGCTGAATAAAGCAATCAAAATAAATAAGATCATGACAAATCCACCTGTGTCAAATTTTAATAATTTAAATAATTTGTCTTTAAATATATATTTATCATGAAATCAGTTTGAATTTAACCCTTATGGAAGAGAATTGATTGCCAATTGTCAAGGCTTTTATGGAGCCCCATAATCTTTAACAAATTACAGTCATGTCACTTTGTTGTGAAGTTGACTTTGTTATGCAGTAAACACGTTAGGTACCTGAAACTCCCCAACATTGAACTACGAGGCATGCGGAATCTTGCAGTTCTACAAAATCTGGGGATCTCTATGTGTAGTAAATAATATGTCCTAAACAATGCAATATTATATAAAGTTTATTTATTTATGTTTTGTCTTGGTCCCAACCCCGTTCCTATTTTTTTTTTTTTTTTTCATTTTTAAATGATAAATCATTGTTAAAGTCTATTGTAAATTGATTTTTAAATACTGTAATTCTATACGAGTCACAGAAAGTTAAGATGAATAAATGCTTGTAAGAGTCTTGGAAACTCATTCCATATGATGTACTTATACCTTGTTATGATGTGTACATTAGGGGTTGATGACGTAACAGTGTGTGACATTATAATATTTCACATCCTTGTTTACTGAAACTCCAGATCTGTGAGAGTTGATCTATAATAGTGTTAGCATTTTAAGACTCCCAGTTATTTAGACAATACACAAAAAAACCTCAGCATTTGTAAATATTGACATAGATTTTATGAAATGTAACTATTATCTTTTTTATTTAAAGAAAAAAAAATTCTGCTCTAGCAAAAATACATACAGTACACAAATCTCAAACAATGTCAATTGGATACAATTGTTTAATTATTTTTGGTCCCCAAAATTAAAACAAAAATCAGATCAACCAAAGATTATTCTGCTAAATGAATACAATTTTAATGTTTTCAGTCTCGTGCTGTCTTCAGTTATAGAAAAAAAATCTTTACAGATAATCATATTTTGTCATCATTCACAAAGATGAGTACTCCGATACCTTAGAGAACTAACACATATGAATAAGCATGCCAAGGAAAATAAATTGTGATTCCTAGGAAAATGGTGACTTATATTTGTGTGTGTATGTGTGTGCAAATCAATGCAAATTTTGGTGCTGTATAATTTTATTTAAAAAGACAAATTTTGTTATGAAATTACCTATCTTAAGTAAAGTTAATAAGGTAAAAGTGTGAGTTATCGAGTTGATTGACGAAATATAATGTGCTTTTCAACAGTGTCATTATTTGTAGGTTTCATGTTCTTTTTTTTCAATGCAGCAATGAAGCATAATACAGAATGGAATTACAGCCTCCTACCTTCTATAATTCATCATTATTTGATTTTCCCATTAAAGTATAACTAAGGGCAAAATTTTTTTTTGGACAGAGTGGAGATAGATTAGAGCATCTGTCACGTGTGGTCAAAGTGGTGATAGATTAGAGCATCTGTCAAATTTTTATTACTGTATCTACCCCCTTAGGGAGATTAACCCTCTCTGTTTGTCCTTTTTACCATTCTCATTGAAAGTGAAAGTAAAAGAAAATCCAAACTTTTGGATTGTCCCCAGCAAAGTAATAGATGGGAAATCTTCAAATGGGGACACTAGTTCTGGTGACCTGGAAGCCCCCAAGGGATTCCCTTAATTTGTTGGGAGTTCCTCTCTTGTTTTGGGATAGGTAGTAAAGGAAAATCTCTTCAATAGGACACAGATGGCAACAAAAACAAACTTATAGTGGTTATGACCCTCCCTTGTTCTATCCAAAATGAAAAAAAGTTTTGCCCATAGTTCTACTTTATGATATTATTGAAATTAATCATTCAGAAGTACTGTCAAAGTAAATATTTCTGTATATATAAAAATATTATAATGCTCCTAATAATATGTTGTTATATGTGCTATTTTGGTACATAAGGACACAAGTGAGTAGCAGCTTTTTAACTAAAATGTGTGATGGTCAGATCAGAATTATATTTTTTACATTTTTTTCTGCCAGAATATCTGCATGCATTTCTGTCTGAGCTTTGAAGAATGTTGCAAAAAAAAAAAAAAAAAAAAATCTACTTAACCATGGTTCATAAAATGTATGGTTCTCTGCAGACTGGAAAAATTCTTAGCATCTTGTGACTTGGCACACTATTGGCATTAATGTGTAAAATCTAGCATACGTCTTGTTCATATAGACCATGTTTGTTTCCCCAGTTTTGGAAACTCTCTGGGGATGTGATAGCTCTATACAATAGTGTTTCTAAACCTGTTTATATTACTTATTCTCTCACAGCATTATATATTTGCCAAGCACACCCTGGCATGTGAACGTTTATCCAATACACTCCAGATGTCATGTACCTTATAGAGGTATATATAGTTTGGAAAAACTGTTCTTTTGTAATGATAAAGCATATTAACTGGAACCTAGTTTGTAAGTATTTAATACTTGCTAAAAACATTACCTATATTATTCTGATTTTCAGCTGTCTCCAGAGCAAACAGTGGGGGAAACAATTCAACTCAGACGCCAGTTTCCATGAAAGTTCTCTAAGCTGGGAGTTCCATTCACTTTAGAGAGATTTCCCCTCATTTCCTGCTGTGTATCCATGAC